TCTAGACCTGTAACGCTGAGGACCAGCACCTTGGCTGGGGGCAAGTTCACTGAGTGAGTAATAACTCATTAAGCATCTTAGAGGAGCCCTAGTGGTGCAGTGGTTAAGCACTTGGCTGCTAACCGAAAAGTGGCAGTTCAAGCCACCAGCCACTCTGTGGGAGAAAGATGTGGCAGTATGCTTTCATGAAAATTACAGTTTTGGAAACACTCTGGAGGTGGAGGGTGTCCTATAGGATTGCTATGAGTCAGAATGGCAATGGGTTGGGTGGTACAATGATTGAGTCCTTGGCTGCTAACCAAAAAGTTTGGCACTTTGAACCTACCAGATGCTCCGTGGGAGAAAAGACCTAGTGACCTGCTTCTGTGAAGATCTCAGCCTCAGAAACTGTATGGGGCAGTTCTATTGTTTTCTATATGGTCACTATAAGTTGGAACTGACTTGATAGGACACAACAATGTAAAAAATGTAATTCATGGCTGTACAAAGTCAGGTGGGGGGGGTGAATTTGGCCCACAGGATTTGCAGATCTTTGCTCTAAACCAATTACACTATCCCATTTCCTGCTTTTCCACCTTCGCATCTTGGAGTGGTCATGAGACCCAATTCTGGCCAATGCAACCTAAAAGGACAAAGTGCTGAGGGGAGAGGTGATTCTGGGCAAGCTTTTGCTATTTTGATAATAGGGGACAGATGCTACAGCCTAGCCCCTTCTCCTTCTATCTGCTTTGAACAAGAACATGAATTAGGGAGCCATCTTGTAATGATGATGCCACAAAAAGAACAAAAGCCAAGACATCAGAAATTATGAAGCAAAGAAAGAATTCAATGCCAGCAACCACCTACCTTGTAACTAGTTAAGTGGGACAAATACTGCCCCATTTTATTTAAGTAGTTTCCTTACTGCAGCTGTGTTCTTAACTGATTGAATGTGCTAGAGTCGGAAATGATTATCCACCCTGCCCATCCCCCATCTAGGAGAACTGCTCCACCCACCGATGATGCTGGTGCCCAGACAGCTGTATTTTGTGCCACATGACTCTATTCCTTCCCATCTGCTTGCCCCAGCTGTTCAAACCTGACCCAAAGTTAGCCAATCCATAGGCTGCCCAGTGACCCATGACTTCTGTGGCTTGGCTCACAAAGATGAGCTGGCCCAATCAGATTTCCTTTCTCAGAATGGGAGTGGAGACTTCCCTCTGGTTGCTGGCAGGACAGAAAGAGGTGGACCCAAACAGTGTGACGGAGTTGCATGAATGGTGGGACTGTGTACCAATGTCACACTGAGGTTTCTGGAGCTGCTCCAATGCATCCTTCCCTCCAGTTCAGACTGTGGTGGCCCCAGTTCTTGGATTTCTCCTTGATTCCAAGTGGGTCCTGAAATTTCTGCTGAGTTCCTCTCAGACCAAAGTAATTTTAGAATGTAGGCCAGTGTCATGGACAGCATTCCTTGAAGGTTGGAGTAGGGGAGGGAAGAATCACTAGCCCATACCTGCAAGTGAGCTGTGCTAAGCCCCCTTCCCAGAAGCCCACCCTGATGCTACCTGCTCCAGTGAGGGCTGGTCAGTGGGGCTCCCCAGGGACCCCCTTCTGGGCAGAGGCTGCAGGACTGGCTTAGCCTTTAAAAGCATCTGGTTTTGTGCTTTGGTGGAGCCACAAGAAGGGGAAGAAAGGAAATTCTTTCCAAGTGGATGGTGAACATATAACCCCCTGGGGGGTGTAACTGGATGGGAATAGAAACAGGGTCAGGAGTGCTCTGAGGAGTCAGGCTCTGACAGGTCACTGAGGGGAGGGTGGAGGGGGTGAAGCAGGACTGGTCAGTGCCTGGAGCAGCAGGAAGAATAAGGGCACCGGCTTGTGGTGACGATGGGGGGGCCTATGGGATGGTGGGGCTCTGGTTGGGAGCGTGGGGCAGCACTGCTGCAGAAATACAGGGCTGCAGTGATTCTCTCATTGTGAGAGACAGAGCCTCTGGACCCTTGAGGACTGGCACCACCAGCTGGGGTGAGGTTCTCACAAAGTCAGTGGTGTCAGGCTAGCCACTGGGGGCTTGTGTCCCTGGGGAAGGGTCAGGGGTCCAGCCTCACAGATTCAGGATTTGATGAACACCTGTGCAGCTCTAGGGATAGAGTGCCCCACTTCCATCTGGGTGACACAGATGTGCCCAGTGGATTCTACACAGGACGACTTGTATGTGAGCTACAGAGAGGCCCAGGGGTTCATTCTGTGTAGGGGAGTATGTGAGGGAGGTCTTGGAAGAGTGGTGAATTCTCTAGAAGACGGAGTGTGGGACATGACCCAGACATGGGCTGAGATCCCTCAGCCCATGAAGTCTCAGCACCGGTGGCCTCATCATGCTGGTATGGAGGGATACAGCTCTGGGGGAGGCCAGCTGGGCTCTGGGATTGTACTTGGGGTCATCCAGGGGAGGGTGGACACACACTCCGGAGCTAGAGACTAACCCTTGGGAGTCATTCATGTACAAGTGATCACTGAGATGGTTTGGGGTGGATGAGAAGTTGCGGAGTTGAGATGAGGAGGAATAAAACCCTGGGAATATTTAAGGGCACAGAGAGCAAGGTGCAGTGGAGGCTGGGAGAGAGTGTGTTGGGCAAATCAGAAGCAACCTGAGGATGATGGCTCAAGCAGGGAGAGGAACATTTCAGGAAGCAGATGGTGGCCACCTGCAGCAGAGATGGAGGGGAGGAGCTCGGGGAAATGGAAGGTCCCAGGTGAACTGCAAAAGTGGCTTTGGGGGCTGCTGGGGACTGAGGTGGGAAGTAAGGCAAGGTAGGTGGCAAGAGTCCAGCTCAGGAGAGAAGGCAGACTGGAGCCAGGGTCTGGAGGGAAGCAAGAATAGGGATTTCTAAGGGTAGCGGGGTGGCAGTGGACTTGGGCAAATGCTAATTTCCTGGAGGCTTCCTTTTGCCCCTGCTCCATCCCACAGGATATTCCATTCCCTCTCACAGACTCCCTCAAGTAAGGCCCACCCCCTTGAATTTCAACCCCCATTTTCATAGGTATTCAGTCTTCTCTACTCCTCCAATCACCTTGACACATCAGAGGGGCTGGCTGGGGACAATGGCCACATTTTTGATGAGATCATGTACTTTAATCCTATGTGTGGGCTGGGCTGTAGGCTGGGTTTTGAGGTACCTGGCAGACCTGGGAAATGGTGTTGTGAATGCACTTCTTGCAGGTGTTCCCAGAATCACTTTCAAAAAGCACCCTCCTCCAAGGGGGCTGTTGGTGTTTCCTCCTTTCGTCTTGGCCATTGTTTGGCCCTGCTGTATCCTGAGACCAAGGTCAGCAGCACAGTGCTTTACTGATGGTCAGAACAAGGTCCCCGGATACCCCTGCTGTGGACATGGCCTCTCTGGGGACTCTGCAGCGCTGCTCCACCTCCTGCAGGTGCGTATCTGCTGTGGAGAATACAGGAGGAGGGAGCTGTGTGCACAGGACCTGTGTCCAGGAGACAGGCTGAGGCTTGAACATCAGACACTTGCTGATTAGTCATTATTGGAGTGAGTGGTCTGAAATTGTGATGTCCTTTCAAACACACTACCTCCCCCCCCACCCTCAGTACAGGATGGGAACTGTTAGCTCAAAATACTGCTCCACCTTAGTCCCAGTAACTGGCTGTTCCAGTTACAGAATACCCCATACAAGCCCTCCAGGGTATTGTCTAACTGGCTCTCTCTCCAAAGGTCCACTGGCCCACAGTCCTCACTCCCACATTGGTTGGATGTGGTTGATATTATCCAGCCGGAGACAGAACTACCTGTGATCTTCTGGGAATATGCCAAGCACTGGTCAAAGCTAAGACATGTACTTCTTAGGCTGGGGTTGTGTCACTCGCCATGTCTGTCTACTTGGGCTGTGTATCTCCTCATGTAGGTTTCACCTTTAACTGATGGCCACCTTCCTCACTGAGGCTCTCAGAGCATCACAGATGCATCTGGGGAGATTGACATAGTGGACGTTTGTGCATGTGATTACTATCTCGGTCCCAAGACTAGTCATGTGAATTTTAAAAGCCAACAAAATCTCCAAGTCCTTCGGTGATGCTAAAAGTTCCAAAGGGCAACAGTCATTAAGTTTAAATGAAAAAGGCTAACATAGACCCAAACTATCCCACTGCTAGCCTTTAGTACTTGAAGGACTTTAGGGGGGTGGGGGAAGTAGTTTTTTTTTATGGGTTATAGGCTAAAGAGGAACAGTTTGCACAGTTTGGACAAAATAGAAGTACTCTTACCAATAAATATGTCTCAAAAGGACAAATAAAGCTCTCCTGACTTGGTGTTCCAGATCCCAGCAAGAAGTGATGGGCACAGGCACAATGAGCTATGTACAGAGTGTAAACAGTAAGGCCCTTGAGTCGAAGTAATGAGGGCCGGGCCAGGTGATGGGGTGTGCATGGAGGGACCTGGGTTAAAGGGAGAGGGCCCAGGATTAAACACGGCAGGCTTGTATGATGGCCATCTAATCTACCACCAAAGCTTACGGGTGGTTGGGGCAGGTCCACTGGGTTCCTCCAGCTGGCAGTAAGAGGGACTGAATGTATCCAGTGAGGAGGCTGGCCCCACCTGTTCCCTCTCCCTAGGGGAGGCACTGGAGACAGCCAGCAGAAAGGGCCTCTGTGCCCCTTCCTCTCGGAGAGGTAGGCCTGCCTGGGCCATACTTGGGACCGTTTACTCAAGGTCCAGGGCATAGTGGATGGGGCAGTGCTTCTCAAACAGGGGATTAGAGTAAATGGTCCCATGGGGCCCACAGCCCCTCCAGGTCCCGTCCCTCTACAAGTGAGGCTATGTTCAGGAGTGTGGGTGGGGTCGGGTGGGGGGCATGACTCTCCACCATAAGAGTCCCAGCCCAAGCCCCGCCCTCCTCAGTTCTCAGGGATGGCAAAGAGCTGCTACCCTATCCAGTTTCCGGGTCCCTGGAACTGTGTCATGCTTCTTTACCCGGTCCACAGCACACTCTCCCGTCTTGTTCAGACGTCCTTAAATATCAGTCTCCCGGAGGTTGCTGTAGTCAGCCAAGCCATAGGCCTGGCAGGTGGCGCCTTCAGACACATCGTGGGGGACACTAAGGCACACAGCCTCCACCTCCGCGCGCAAGGTGCACGCGGCCTCTGCGCGCTGCGCGCCCCCGCCGCGGATCTTGTGCGACAGGCTGGAGACCTTGGCACGCAATTGGGTGGTAGGTCTCCGAAACGGTCCGAACAACCTCCACTCACGGAAGGAGCAAGGAGACTTACGCCCAACCGCGGTTGGAGGCTGCGCCTCAGACGTGCCTGGGGAGCAGGGGGCCGGGGGCGCAGTGAGGGCCAGCGGGGCCCCGGGGGGCGCGTCGCCTGGGCCAGGGTCCCAGTCGGAGCGCGGGCCGCCGGTCGATGCTCGCCAGTGGTGGTCGTAGACGCGCCAGAGGGGGCGCCGCCGCCGGCGACGACGGCATTGGCAGCGTAGGAGGCGGAGGAAGGCGCGTTTGAACTCGCGGCTGGAACAGGGGTAGATGAGGGGATTCACGCAGCTGTTGAAGTAGCCTAGCCAGAAGATAACCTTGAAGACGCCCTCCGATGGCTTCAGGTGCGGGAACAGGGAGCCTGGGGGTTCAGAGAGACACGCCAGTTAGGTTCTCCGGGAGGTGGAAGGCCCAGGCAGGCCCTGGGCGCAAGGGGGCGCCCCTCTCCGCCCTGTAGGGGCCTGGGCTGAGACATCAACCAGGAACTCTCAATGGAGTTCCATTGATATAATTCATGGAGTTTATAAACTTGGATGGAAAAAAATGATCATTTTTACTCACCTCAGGGTGAAATCGAGCATTTCCTTCAATGAGTGTAGGCAACAGAATTAGGCAATACATGAAATGGCCATTTTTGTAGATTAAAATTGGTGCAATATTGGCAGTTTCATATGGTTTGGCCTGTTGTTAGCAGTTCGTCAGATATTTCCCCATCCCAGTTGTTGCAGATATTCTGAAATATTGTGTCTGCACTTCACTATTTGGAACTGTCAGTCATTAGAACCCACTAAGACTTCTGGTGGCATAGTGGGCAAGGCATCTGGCTGCTAACCAGGTCGGTGGTTCAAACCCACCAGCAACTCTACGGGAGGAAGATGAGGCAATGTATTCCTGTAAAGATTTATAGCTTTGGAAACCCAACGGGGATTTCTATTTCGGATGATACAAAATGTTTGTCTGGAATGGATGGTGGTGATGATGCATGTAATTAATGTCGCTGAATTGTACACTTAAGAATGGTTAAAATGGCAAACTTTTTGTTACATATATTTTTTATGATAAAATTTTTAAAAATGATGTTTTCAATAAGATCACAGTTTCATATTCAATTCTTTGTATTTTATTTTATGCATTTGTAAGCATGCCTCTGAGATGGCATCACAGGCTTCTATCTAACTAGTCCACAGCACAAAAAGGGATAAGAACCCCTGAATTAAATATAGATCAAGGCTTGCCCTGGGCCAGGCACTGTGCTGGGGTCACATATATGAGGCATTAAACATGGCTGTAAGGAATCCTGGTGACACAATGGTTAAGCGCTTGGCTGTAACTGAAAGGTTGGCAGTTTGAACCCACCAGCTGCTCTGCACAAGAAAGATGTGGCAGTCTGCTCCCATAAAAATTACAGCCTTGGAAACCCTTTGGGGCAGACATACTCTGTCCTATAGGGTCACTACCAGTCAGAATCAACCTGATGGCAATGGGTTTATTTATTTTAAACACATCCTTGCTCCCTCAGAAGCAAAGTGAATGAAGTATCATGGAAACAGGTAGGAGTGACTGTGGTGCTCTGTATGTTCATGTGGAGTGAGGGCTCAGACTCAGTGAATCTTCTGGGGTCTCAAAGGAAGGGTAGGAGTCAGCCAGGATGGGAAGGGGCAGAGGGCATTCCAGGTGGAAAAGGTGAGCAAGAAGGTAACAAGTCTGAGGCCTGAGAGTACTCTACAAAATAAACTCAGAAAACTTCATTTGGGACAGGTGATGAAGGGCCTTCTTACATGCTGAGATGTTCAGCTTTTGTTTTGTTAGGAGCCATGAATATTTTTAGCAGGTAGGAGCTTTGGTAGCATAGTGGCTAAGACACTTGCCTGCTAACCAGAAGGCTGGCGGTTCAAACCCACCAGCCACTCCCCGGAAGGAAGGTTGGGCAATCCTACTTCCGTAGTGATAACTGCCTCGGAAACCCAAGGAGGGGTCGCTATGAGTCGGGGCTGACTCAAAGGCACATAACAACAACAACAACAAGATATTCAATCTAGAATTTAGCTCTCAATCAATACAGTGCCCATGGGCTTTGGAATGCAGGATAGTGGGGCTGTCCCAGTGGGAGCGGTTGGGAAAGGCTCTGGGATGGCTCTGGGTGGACAGAGTACCAGGTGGGTGGCGTGGGAGGCTCTGGGATCTGAACTGTGCCAAAGACCCTCCTGCCCACAAACCTCTCCTGTGGCACTCTCACCACGGACCAGAAGGAGGTCATGTCTCCAAAAGGCACCCAACAAAGTACAAAAGGGATGGCCCCGGAAGTAGAGGCCACATCACTCATCTGAAGCAGGAGCAGGAGCATCCTATCCTGGGCAGAGGGGTGCTACTGGCCTTGACAAATTATGGGACCTGCTCTCTCTTCCCTTTGTCCCAAAAGAAAGAGTCCCCTGCTAAAGGGCAGAGGCACTGAAGCCAGCTAGTTTAAAAACAAAACCAAATCAACTTTTTATCTTTAAAGCTAGTTAAGGTAGAGAGAAAGCCTCTTACCATTCCTGGGGATGGGACGTAGGGGCACCATAAGCAATAAACAAGCCCCAATCAGCCTCTGGTAGCATAGTGCCTAAGGCACTTGACTGCTAACCAGAAGGCTGGCTGTTCAAACGCACCAGCCACTCCTAGGAAGGAAGGTTGTTGGGCAATCTACATCGGTAGTGATACTGCCTCGGCAACCCAAGGAGGGGTCGCTATGAGTCGGGGCCGACTAGACGGCACATAACAACAACACAACAATCAGCCAACCTAGAAACACCCCACTCTGCTTCCTGCTGATCCTCTTGCTTATAGGTATCTTTCAGTCATAAATTCCAAACTAGTCTCAGCCAGACCCAGAAGCATGTGTAGAAAGAACTGTGCCCTCCAACTAAACTCACAACATTAAAACTCATGCCAAGGAACCAAGAGTCACTGGAACTAAGGTACTGGTGCTACACGGACCCACTTCAGAAGCGAAGGTCCGAAGGCTACTTCCGTGCTAAACTATAACCCCGCCTCTATGAATAAGACTACACCGCCCCCAAAACGAATATGTGTAACTTTCTTATTACCCTGAAACCTGTAAAACTCCCTTCGGGGAGGTATTTCTTTTACTAGCTCTTTAACCCACCCTGTCTCCATTTTCACTTGCCAAGTAAAAATACAAAAACCTGCTTAAGAATTTTTTTGCGGTCTCAGACTACTCTCGGTAGACATACGGCAAAGACGCTTTGAGTCCAACCAGAAATCCCTGATCCTTTTCTGTAACAACACCACCCACTCTTCTTCAACCTGGGGCCCTAGCGTATCACTCACTGTATCCCAACCCCGACCCTACCGGGAGAGTTCCGGATGTAAGAGACATCTGGGGAGAAGAGGAGGGTCACCAGGCATCACACAGACCAGGCTTTTCAAGCCTTGGTCGCTCAAATTACTTGACCATCTAAGTCTCCCTTTCCTTTTCTGTGAAACAGAGACAACAGTGTTTCTCTGGAAGGGATTCATACATTTTAAAGCCCAGTAGCTCATAGCAGGCTCTTAATGCGTACTGGTTTCTCATCCTTCTTCCTTCCCTAATCTTGTGGAGAGGAGACTTCAGTCCTGGGAAGGGATCCAGTTCCCAGCCCTGGAGAATGGTCAGAACCAGCAGCTGAAACCCGGGGTGCTTGGGGTGGCTGGGGGATTAGTTGGGGAGTGTCCAGGAGATGGTTTCCCCAGGAGAAGGGCTGGGCAGTTGTTCCTGGAATGTGAGGGCCACCAGGATTGACCTCAGCCTCCAAGAAGGCAGAGTCCCTCAATGGCTGCAAAGTAAGACAGAGTGCTGGAAATAACTTCTGACTCAGGCTACAATTCTTTTATATTTAGACCAGGATGACAAATCAGTGGACTATGTTTTAAGTGGTGAGGCAAAGCCGGCCAAAAGGCATTGTTACTAGTGTGGTTTTAAGTGGAACTGCTGGGCAACATGGCATATGTAGTATGGCCTGGGTCTCCCTGGAAATATGAATATTCTAATGTATGTTCAACCGACTTGTCTGGATGCTGGCTGGGAATTCCTTACACACAAAGGCACTGGTATGCAAACTCAGCCTTCCAGCCTCAGGATTTTCCCACTGTATCCTGTTGAGGTTTTTTGTAATCTTACTTTGGGCTCTCCCAGAAGCAGACCCTGAGACAAGAATTCAAATGCAAGTTGTTACTTTGGGAGGTAAATGAAACACCAGGATGGAGTGGGAAAAAGAGGCAGGGAAGAGAAGGAAGCCCATAAAAAGCATGTTGTCAATGAGCTCTGGCGGTGCAGTGAGTAAGCACTTGGCTGCTAACTGAAAGGTTGGATCTGAACCCACCAATGGCTCTGTGGGAGAAAGATGTGGCAGTCTGCTTCTGTAAAGATTTACAGCCTAGAAAACCCTACGAGGGCAGTTCTACTCTGTCCTATAGGGTTACTCAGTTGGCATCTACTCAATGGTAATAAGTTTTTTTTTCTTTTGAAATAAATCAAGTTAGTCATTACATGACTAGTTATTACCATGGGTAACTGGGGCTTAAACCCACTGGGGAACGAGTGACTGTGACAAACGTATACCTCAGCATCATCCCACCAGTGGGACAAGGGAGGTGGGATATTTATACACCCATCCCACCAGTTATTGGTTGGGCTGCTCCCTTGGGTGCTGATTTTCTGCACTTTCTGCCTGCTACATGGCTGGGCAACGAGGATTTTAGTGGGCAGAAAAAGTCCCTGGGCAAAGAGATGTAGGCAGGCTTTGGGTGGAAGGTGGCCCACGGTGGCACTGGAAGTCTAGCGGAGATGTGCAGGGCACCACAGCACCTGCCACAACTTTGTGACATCTGCTCTCTGCCCACGTATCTTGCATGGAAAACGCAGACCTCTGTGCCTTGTGCTCAAGCCCCTATAGGCAGCTCCCAAGAGGCTTTTCCTCTGTTCCACCGACAGAAGGCAAATCTGAGAGTCACACCCATCTTTCCCAGTGTGCTCCAGTCTACTGCACCCTACCTCCCTGCACCCTACCTCAGTCTTCCTCATTGGCCCACAGCCTCTTTTGAGGTTCTCTGGAGGGTTTAAGGGGGATGTGGGTGGGCCTTTCCTCCTCATTGTATGCCATGTGTGTAAGGATAAGGAAGCTGCCCTGAGCCCCGAGGATGGGCACCTAGCTCATGGGCATTGAGCCTGTATTGCTGCCTCACTGTTGGGGCATCAATGGACAAACTGTTTCTCAGCCACTCCGTCTTCTCCCCCAGCCACTCTGAGTTACACCTATCTTGTGTGTTCAGGGGATAAACTGTTACAGAGTTAGGAATTATAGCTACTCTGTACTGTCTGGC